AAAACAGCACTGTGTCTCACTTTTTATTGATCTCTCTAAGGCTTTTGATACAGTTGATCATGCTATACTAAGGCAGAGATTGTTGAGTGTAGGTCTTTCGCAGCATGCAGTTGCATGGTTTGCTAACTATCTGTCTGATAGAACTCAGTGCACTCAATTTGATGGGCTTATGTCTGTTAAATTGTCTGTCCTGAATGGTGTGCCCCAGGGCTCTGTACTTGGTCCTCTCTTATTCACTATTTATATTAATGATTTAGACAAAAATGTCCAAAATGCACAACTTCATTTTTATGCTGATGATACTGTTATTTACTGTTGTGCCTCATCTCTTACAAAGCTTTCCAGAACTTGCAAACTGCTTTTTATACTGTTCAACATACCTTGTGTCAATTGAAGCTTATCCTCAATATTGACAAAACTAAACTAATGGTGTTTTCTAATGCAAGAAATAGACCTCTGAACCTTTCACCTGTTACTACCTGTCAGGGCAAGGAGATTGAGGTTGTAACCTCATATAAATATCTTGGAATTCTAATTGATGACGGCCTCTCTTTTAAATTGCATATTCAACAACTTACAAAAAAATTGAAGCTGAAATTGGGATTTTATTTTAGGAATAAGGCCTGTTTTTCTTTTGAAGCCAGAAGGAGGCTAGTATCAGCTACATTTATGCCTTTACTAGATTATGGGGATATTTTATATATGAATGCTTCCGCTCAGTGTTTGAGATCAATTGACACTCTTTATCATGGTACTTTGAGATTTATTTTAAACTGCAAAACCCTTACGCACCACTGTACTTTGTATACCAGGGTTGGCTGGCCTTCTCTAGTCACTCGTAGGCTCAGTCACTGGTATACTTTTATTTACAAAGCCATTTTGGGTTTACTACCTTTTTATTTGGGCCTTTTTATTGTTCAGAAATGTGGTGGGTACTCTCTTCGTTCACTGGACTTTATCCTGCTAACTGTTCCAAATGTCCGAACTGAATTTGGTAAAAGGTATTTTATGTACTCTGCGCCATCGTCTTGGAACACCTTACAAAATAATTTTAAACTGGAAGAACTTGTCCCGATTGGTGTTTTTAAATCTCTGATGAAGGATTTTGAGGCTGATTCCCTGACCTGTCAATGTTTTTAATTTGCTGTTTTTTATATTGTTATACTCTTGTGAATTCATGAATGGTTTTTTACTAGTTTACTTGTAGTTTTTCATGTTGTCTGTCTGTAATTTTTTGTAATGACTTGGTGCTGCCTATCTTGGCCAGGACGCTCTTGAAAAAGAGATTTTAAATCTCAATGAGCCCTTCCTGGTTAAATAAAGGTTAAATAAATAAAAATATTTTATTTGATGTATGCAGGACTTGGCTGACTTGTAGGCCTAGGCTCGTCAAAGAGAATTGTTAGAACCTACTGCTTCACATAGACTCCCCTAAATACGGTCGGGTCCAAAGGTATTTTGACAGTTTTTTTGTTGTTGTTTTGGCTCTGTACTCCAGCACTTTGATTTGAAATGATACAATGGCTATGATGTTAAAGTGCAGACTGTCAGCTTTAATGTGAGGGTATTTTCATCCTTATTGGGTGAACTGTTTAGAAATGACAGCACTTTATGGATCTAGTCTCCAAGGTGTCATAAGTATTTGGACAAATTCACTTAGTGTATTAAGTTTAGTCAAAAGTTTAGTATTTGGTCCCATATTCCTAGCACGTAATGACTACGTCAAGCTTGTGACTCTGCAAACTTGTAGGATGCATTTGTAGTTTGTTTTGGTTGTGTCGGATTATGTTGTGCCCAAAACACATGAATGGTAATAATGTATTGTCATTTTGGAGTCACTTTTATTGTAAATAAGAATAGAATATGTTTCTGAACATTAATGTAGATGCTACCATGATTACGGATAATCATGAATGAATCGTGAATAATGATGACTGAGAAAGTTAAAGGCACAAAGATCATATCCCTAAAACATGCTAACCTCTTAACATTACCAATACCAGGGGAGGTTAGCATTTTTGGGGGGGTATGATATTTATGCCTCTAACTTTCTTATTTATTATTGTGCCCAATAGAAATGAATGGTAATGTATTGTGTCATTTGAGTCACTTTTATTGTAAATACAAATATAATATGTTCCTGAACACTTCTACATTAATGTGGATGCTATCATGATTACGGATATTGTACTCCTGAGTGGCGCAGTGGTCTAAGGCACTGCATCGCAGTGCTAACTGTGCCACTAGAGATCCTGGTTCGAATCCAGGCTCTGTCGCAGCCGGCCGCGACCGGGAGACTCATGGGCGGCGCACAATTGGCCCAGCGTCGTCCAGGGTAGGGGAGGGAATGGCCGGCAGGGATGTAGCTCAGTTGATAGAGAATGGCGTTTGCAACGCCAGGGTTGTGGGTTCGATTCCCACGGGGGGCCAGTATAAAAAAAAAAAAATGTATTCACTAACTGTAAGTCGCTCTGGATAAGAGCGTCTGCTAAATGACTAAAATGTAAATGTAAATGTGGATAATCAGTCATTAATGAATCATGAATAAAGTTGAGAGAGAACGTTAGAGGCATAAATATCATACCCCCAAGACATGCTAACCTCCCCTTTTATTGATAATAGTGCAAGGTTAGCATGTCTTGGGGGAATGATCTTTGTGCTTCAGTAACTTTCTCACTCATCATTATTCACGATTCATTTATCATTATCCGTAATCATGGTAGCATGCACATTAATCTAGAAGTGTTCAGAAACCTATTCTATTCATATTTACAATAAAAGTGACTCCAAAATGTCACAATACATTATTTACCATTTATTTCTATTGGGCACAACCTAATCCGAAACACAACCAAAACAAACTGCCGATGCATGCAACAGGTTTGTAGTCACAAGCTTGATGTAGTCATAACTTGCTACATTTGCACACACTGTATATACAGTGGGGGGAAAAAGTATTTAGTCAGCCACCAATTGTGCAAGTTCTCCCACTTAAAAAGATGAGAGAGGCCTGTAATTTTCATCATAGGTACACGTCAACTATGACAGACAAAATGAGAAAAAAAAACAGAAAATCACATTGTAGGATTTTTAATGAATTTATTTGCAAATTATGGTGGAAAATAAGTATTTGGTCGCCTACAAACAAGCAAGATTTCTGGCTCTCACAGACCTGTAACTTCTTCTTTAAGAGGCTCCTCTGTCCTCCACTCGTTACCTGTATTAATGGCACTTGTTTGAACTTGTTATCAGTATAAAAGACACCTGTCCACAACCTCAAACAGTCACACTCCAAACTCCACTATGGCCAAGACCAAAGAGCTGTCAAAGGACACCAGAAACAAAATTGTAGACCTGCACCAGGCTGGGAAGACTGAATCTGCAATAGGTAAGCAGCTTGGTTTGAAGAAATCAACTGTGGGAGCAATTATTAGGAAATGGAAGACATACAAGACCACTGATAATCTCCCTCGATCTGGGGCTCCACGCAAGATCTCACCCCGTGGGGTCAAAATGATCACAAGAACGGTGAGCAAAAATCCCAGAACCACACGGGGGGACCTACTGAATGACCTGCAGAGAGCTGGGACCAAAGTAACAAAGCCTACCATCAGTAACACACTACGCCGCCAGGGACTCAAATCCTGCAGTGCCAGACGTGTCCCCCTGCTTAAGCCAGTTTGCTAGAGTGCATTTGGATGATCCAGAAGAGGATTGGGAGAATGTCATATGGTCAGATGAAACCAAAATATAACTTTTTGGTAAAAACTCAACTCGTCGTGTTTGGAGGACAAAGAATGCTGAGTTGCATCCAAAGAACACCATACCTACTGTGAAGCATGGGGGTGGAAACATCATGCTTTGGGGCTGTTTTTCTGCAAAGGGACCAGGACGACTGATCCGTGTAAAGGAAAGAATGAATGGGGCCATGTATCATGAGATTTTAAGTGAAAACCTCCTTCCATCAGCAAGGGCATTGAAGATGAAACGTGGCTGGGTCTTTCAGCATGACAATGATCCCAAACACACCGCCCGGGCAACGAAGGAGTGGCTTCGTAAGAAGCATTTCAAGGTCCTGGAGTGGCCTAGCCAGTCTCCAGATCTCAACCCCATAGAAAATCTTTGGAGGGAGTTGAAAGTCCGTGTTGCCCAGCGACAGCCCCAAAACATCACTGCTCTAGAGGAGATCTACATGGAGGAATGGGCCAAAATACCAGCAACAGTGTGTGAAAACCTCGTGAAGACTTACAGAAAACGTTTGACCTGTGTCATTGCCAACAAAGGGTATATAACAAAGTATTGAGAAACTTTTGTTATTGACCAAATACTTATTTTCCACCATAATTTGCAAATAAATTCATTAAAAATCCTACAATGTGATTTTCTGGATTTTTTTTAGTTGACGTGTACCTATGATGAAAATAACAGGCCTCATCTTTTTAAGTGGGAGAACTTGCACAATTGGTGGCTGACTAAAAACTTTTTTTCCCCACTGTATATTTTCTGTTGTATTTTTGACTTTATGTTTTGTTTTACCCCATATGTAACTCTGTGTTGTTGTTTTTATCGCACTGCTTTGCTTTATCTTGGCCAGGTCGCAGTTGTAAATGAGAACTTGTTCTCAACTGGCTTACCTGGTTAAACAAAGGTAAAAAATAAATAAATACAATTAATACACTAAGTGAATTTGTCCAAATACTTATGACACTTGCAAATGGGAGGACTAGATGTCATTTCTAAATGGTAAAACAAAATGTGTATGACATTCTGTACTGTCGCCTCATTTGACCTCAAATCCAAAATGCTTGAGTAGAGCCAAATGTAAACATTTTAGCTTCACTGTCCAAATAAATACGTAGGGTAATGTATTAATAGGCCTATCTCTCTTTCAGAATCTTCACAAATCACATTTTGTTTCTGTTGATATCCTGGCCTTATGCAAACAGTGGGGCTTTTGCAAATGTCTAATTTCCATAGAAAATGAGCAGACCCCAGCTACTATGGAAAATGAGAGAGGTGACTGTGATAGTGGAAGTGAGAGGGAGGAGAGACTGAGTGCCAGTGGAGCAGCTCCTGCACTGGGCCCTGACCTGACAGTCATTAGTGTGACTCACACAAGGCTGAGGTCATGCTAGTTCGTCATCCCTCCAGCACCATCACCATTCACAAAGCCCCACTCGCCCACTCTCTCACTCTAACTCAGTGGAACAGAACACAATAGACACACATGAAGCAGAACATGAGTGCTGTACTGTACCGTATACTGGCTGTAGCCCCCCCCCCCCCCCCTCCCCCTGGGCTGACATCCCAGAGCCAGAGATTATGTGTCAGTCAGTCTCACTATGCTGCTGGGGTTGACTGCATCACAGGCAGATTAGATGACTGCTTGCTAGGCTGCATATGATGGATGGATATGCTGCACATTCACGGCAGATATATCTATGTCAGGGTGTCTATGGGTTGTGTTTCTTAGCAACCAGATTACCTCTCACTCTTAAATCAGTAACTGTAGTTGGTTGGTGGTGGTGTTTGGTGCACTAACAAACCCCTTGATTTCTCTCCTCCTCACCAGAGTCTGTGTATAACCTCCTCCCTAAGGAGCTCCAGCTGCAGCCATCCTCCTCCTCCCAGACAGACGCACCCACCATGAGCCAGAAGAGTGGGGGAGAGGCCGGACCGCCCCCTTCTGCAGCCATGGCCTCAGGTAAGCCCTTCACTCTGACCCCACCAGCCTGACCTAGGATCAGATTACTCTGTCCGCATCCTCACCTAGATCATTAGGATGCAGAACATAAGACTGACCTTAGTTCAATGTCTAGTCGAAAACTTCACCCTAGTTTACTTCAGTGTGTGCCTGTGGGGCAGTTGGTGCTAGTGTTGGTGTATTCTGGGAAATTGAGTTTTCACCTCTGTAGGGTAAATGTGGGCCATGGTTACTGTAGACAGGACAGGTGTGAGAGAGTGGGAATACATATTGTTTTGTTTGAATGAACGAACATGGCCTTGGTCTATATATTATTTTATTTGCATTAGCCTATAGCTAAAGTCATATTAGGCTGGTATTGCTTGCAATCTGTCTCTCTCGGGTCTAATCAAAAATGGATAAAAAATTGTTTTGTTTTCTTTCGATTGTCCTACGTTTTCATCTCTCTTAGATGGAGCAATGTAAATTAGCCCCACCACTAGAGACAACCTTACTGTCCGTTTTTGTTCTTAGATGATGAGAACAGGTTAAAAGAGCTAGGCTATAATTAGCAAAGCAGTTATTGTGTCCTTTTAGCACTTCTGAATTAGCACGCCTGTCTGAATCTGTCTGCGATAGACTTTCTGTGAAGATAAAATTACATACACACACACAAACACACACACATAGTCATGTAGACCAGCATAAAGAAAACATCTCATGATATCTCAAGAGATGGCATTTATATTAGATCAGAAAAACAATATGTTGTGTCACTTCAGCATGGTTGGGCTATTAAAGGGATACTTGGGGATTTTGGCAATGAGGCTCTTTATCTACTTCCCCAGAGTCAGTTGAACTCCTGGATACCATTTGTATGTCTCTGTCTCACTGTTCTACATGACTCAGTGTGTTTTTTTTACGGCAGAGTATTCATACCTTTTAGCACAGGAAGCTGACTGAACTCAGTAGTCATGAGGCTGCTGTCATTATGCACAGTAACCCAGGATTAGGTAGAAGTTGACCCTATAACCACTGGTAGAGGCTCAGATAATTCTCAACCCCTTTAATGGTTACTGCTAGGATTGGGGTGTAGGGTAGACTGGTCCCAGATCTATATGTGTTTTAGCCAATTCTTCTGACTCTTGTAGTCATGCCATACATGAACCAGGCTAGGGTAATCTGATTCTAGATCTGTGGTTAGGGACAGCTTCTACCACAAGTTCATTTTCAGAGTTGGAGAGCTGGCTTCATGCTAGCCCAAGCAAGCACTACATGCATCATCATGTTATCCAAAGACACTTAAATAAACAAAGGATCAGCTATCCTCAAACAGTATTTACAGTGAGGGAAAAAAGTATTTGATCCCCTGCTGATTTTGTACGTTTGCCCACTGACAAAGACATGATTAGTCTATAATTTTAATGGTAGGTTTATTTGAACAGTGAGAGACAGAATAACAACAAAATAATCCAGAAAAACGCATGTAGAAAATGTTATAAATTGATTTGCATTTTAAAGAGGGAAATAAGTATTTGACCCCTCTGCAAAAAATTAGTACTTGGTGGCAAAACCCTTGTTGGCAATCACAGAGGTCAGACGTTTCTTGTAGTTGGCCACCAGGTTTGCACACATCTCAGGAGGGATTTTGTCCCACTCCTCTTTGCAGATCTTCTCCAAGGCATTACGGTTTTGAGGCTGACGTTTGGCAACTCAAACCTTCTTCTCCCTCCACAGATTTTCTATGGGATTAAGGTCTGGAGACTGGCTAGGCCACTCCAGGACCTTAATGTTCTTCTTCTTGAGCCACTCCTTTGTTGCCTTGGCTGTGTGTTTTGGTTCATTGTCATGCTGGAATACCCATCCACAACCCATTTTCAATGCCCTGGCTGAGGGAAGGAGGTTCTCACCCAAGATTTGACGGTACATGGCCCCATCCATCGTCCCTTTGATGCGGTGAAGTCGTCCTGTCCCCTTAGCAGAAAAACACCCCCAAAGCATAATGTTTCCACCTCCATGTTTGACGGTGGGGGTGGTGTTCTTGGGGTCATAGGCAGCATTCCTCCTCCTCCAAACACGGCGAGTTGAGTTGATGCCAAAGAGCTCGATTTTGGTCTCATCTGACCACAAAACTTTCACCCAGTTCTCCTCTGAATCGTTCAGATGTTCATTGGCAAACTTCAGACGGCCCTGTATATGTGCTTTCTTGAGCAAGGGGACCTTGTGGGCGCTGCAGGATTTCAGTCCTTCATGGCGTAGTGTGTTACCAATTGTTTTCTTGGTGACTATGGTCCCAGCTGCCTTGAGATCATTGACAAGATCCTCCCGTGTAGTTCTGGGCTGATTCCTCACTGTTCTCATGATCATTGCAACTCCACAAGGTGAGATCTTGCATGGAGCCCCAGGCCGAGGGAGATTGACAGTTCTTTTGTGTTTCTTCCATTTGCGAATAATCGCACCAACTGTTGTCACCTTCTCACCAAGCTGCTTGGCGGTGGTCTTGTAGCCCATTCCAGCCTTGTGTAGGTCTACAATCTTGTCCCTGACATACTTGGAGAGCTCTTTGATATTGGCCATGGTGGAGAGTTTGGAATCTGATTGATTGTTTATTTCTGTGGACAGGTGTCTTTTATACAGGTAACAAACTGAGATTAGGAGCACTCCCTTTAAGAGTGTGCTCCTAATCTCAGCTCGTTACCTGTATAAAAGACTCCTGGGAGCCAGAAATCTTTCTGATTGAGAGGGGGTCAAATACTTATTTCCCTCATTAAAATGCAAATCAATTTATAACATTTCTGACATGCGTTTTTCTGGATTTTTTTGTTGTTATTCTGTCTCTCACTGTTCAAATAAACCTACCTTTAAAATTATAGACTGAGTCATGACTGATCAGCTCTTGTTGTTCATTGGCTGTCTCGTTTGTATTGCAGGAAATTCCCTCCCTCTGAGGAAGGGGGCGTCTGCATATAAAATGGCCTGCAGGTCACTGCTCCATAGGTCAGAGCCTTGTTTATTCTGTTGCCATGGCTACGCTCAGTCCCAACCCAATCCTCCAATTGGCATGCTCAGACCGCTGTATAGGCCGAATACTGTATGCACAAACTGCTCTAGCCCCCATTTACATTTAATTTGGCACCGCATCATTAGTTTGCAAATTTGGCTGTTAAGAGGAAAGTCTGACTGACCAGATGTTTTATTTAATTTTTGGGGGCAATGTATGTAACAATTTTAAAAGCTTGCTTTAGTTTTTTCTAAACACAGCATGTCAGTTTTGTCATGTTGATTTTTATTGAGCAAGTTTTTGTAGGAATCAAACATTCAATTGGGGGGAACATGGGGCCTATTTGTACCATTCTCAACTTTAACTTCAGAAAATTTGCCCGACACCAGAGAGCTCTGGTATGCACAGTGAGGGCATTTAGCCACACAACAAACCATGACAAATGAATTTAGAGTTGGGAAGAGGGAAAACTCTGGACAAATCATGCACAAATTCAGCTGCGTGAATGGGACTGCTAGCCTGCTCTGTATTGACATCCATACTAACATTGTGATCGTTCCACATTCTATCCAGATGCCACCTCATCTAGCCCTTCTCCATCCTCCTCTTTGGCCATGGACCAGCCCAAGCCTCCTCTCCTCCTCCAACACCATCCCAGCGGTGCCCCCAGAGAGGTGTCCGGAGCCCCAGAAGGATCAGAGATGCAAGGCATGGAGGGAGCTCTGTCTGCCCCTGAAGGTGGAGACGGCAGTGAGACCAGCTCTGGAACAGGAGGAGGAGACCCAGGAGCACCAGGGGCAGTGGGGGTGGGAGCCCAGCAGCAGCAGCCCCAGAACACCCCCTCTAAGCGGAGGCCAGTGTTGAGCATCTCCCCCCCTCCAGAGGACTTGTTTGATGACAGCAGTATGTCCTGCCAGGAGGATCCAGCCCCGGCCGGGCCAGCAGGCCCAGACTCAGAACATAGCAGCAGCATCTGGGCTGACGACTCGGCCTCCAACTTCAGCCTGATCAGCTCCAGCTCCTACAACGACAACACAGAGGTCCCCCGCAAGTCCCGTAAACGCACCCCCCGCCAGCGGCCCGGGCCCAGGCCTGCACCCCCAGAGGACAGCATGGATGTGTTTGATGCAGACAGCGCCAAGGCCCCACACTTTGTCCTGTCTCAGCTGGGCCCAGACAAGGCCAGCCCCAAGCCCAGGTAGGTTGAATAGAATGCTAGTCTTCTTTTAATGTATCTTTGCTAAGAACATGAGGATTTAAGTTGACATACCATTGACTCTGTTGCACACACAGCAAAGCAGAGTCATCACCTGATGTTCTGGAGGCCTAATAAAGAGTGTGTTGTGTGTTCTCCAGTTCTCTGGAGGCTGGGTGCATGCTGAAGGGAGGCCTTGCTGTCAGGTCAGTATCCCCAGAAGAGTGAGGGCAAGGAGCTGAAGATCCTGGTGCAGCCAGAGACCCAGCACCGGGCACGCTACCTAACCGAGGGCAGCCGCGGCTCTGTCAAAGACCGCACACAACAGGGCTTCCCCACGGTCAAGGTGAGCAACACTTTAAATTTTATTTTTAACCATTGGTTAGTCGTATACAATTGTGCTAAGTTGTGTTTGGTTGAGCTGTGTTGCACTCTACTCACCATCTTCTCCCCTTCTCTCTCCAGTTAGAGGGCGTCAGTGAGCCGGTGGTGCTGCAGGTGTTTGTTGCCAGTGACGCAGGCAGAGTGAAGCCTCATGGGTTCTACCAGGCCTGCAGGGTGACAGGACGCAACACCACAGCCTGCAAGGAGGTGGACATCGAGGGAACCACCGTCATAGAGGTCCCTCTGGAGCCCAGCAGCACCATGTCACTTGCGTAAGGGCCTCATTCATTGAGTTAATGAACATTGAAACATTGGTGAAATATCAGTGTGTTATTTAAGCAATAAGGCACGAGGGGGTGTGGTATATGGCCAATTTACCACGGCTAAGGGCTGTTCTTAGGCACGACAGCTCCAACCACCCAGTTTATAATGTTTCTTTCATCATCTGAACATTCTGTAACGTTGAATCTTTACAGGGTTGATTGTGTGGGGATCCTGAAGCTGCGTAACGCGGACGTGGAGGCTCGTATCGGTGTGGCCGGGTCCAAGAAGAAGAGCACCCGGGCCAGGCTGGCATTCAGGGTCAACATCCCCCAGCCTGACGGGTCTGTCCTCACCCTGCAGACCACCTCGTCACCCATCCTCTGCAGTGAGTCAACCAACTATCACCCTATTCATACAAACACAAATAACTATCAGGTATGTGTATGTGCTTGTTTGATGTTCATTAAATTCCTTAGGTTCTTGTTAGGCTGGAACAAAAGCTGGCACACCACTTAGTTTCAATAGTAGGGTTTTGTGAACAGCAATTCTGCACACTCTGCTTTGTGCATGTCCTTCCCCAGCCCAGCCAGCGGGGGTGCCAGAGATCCTGAAGAAGAGTCTCCATAGCTGTTCAGTGAGAGGAGGAGAGGAGCTCTTCATCATAGGGAAGAACTTCCTCAAAGGAACCAAGGTCATCTTCCAGGAGAACCCAGCCGGTACCAGCACCAACCTGCCCGTCTTCCTCCTTTCTTCCCTGTCCTCTTTTCCTTTTGTTCACATCCCTTTCTTCCTCTCTCTGTGGTGTCTGTGATGTCTCCTCATAGTGACGATGTTGAGATACATTTATAAAAAATGATTGATTAATGATATTGATTCCTTTTCTTTCCAGATGATAACTCGTGGCAGGCCGAGGCAGAGATTGACATGGAGCTGTTCCATCAGGTAGCCCATTGATATCGATGCATGAAAGGGAAAGGGGGATACCTAGTCAGTTGTACAACTGAATGCATTTAACCCAACCAGAATCAGAGAGTAATGCATACGGATCATGAGCTGACTGTCCTAATCCTAATGATGTTGTTCTGTTTTCTCCAGAACCATGTGGTCGTGAAGGTTCCTCCGTACCACAGCCTGTCTGTCTCCTCTCCTGTCTCTGTGGGTGTCTACATCATGACCAACGCCGGGAGGTCACATGACATCCAGCCCTTCACATATACCCCAGACTCAGGTGTGTGCACTGATACCTTCCTTCAGTGTTTGGATAGAGGGAGTAAGAGATGGGTTGAAGAAGGGAGTGATGAAGGTTTGAGTAATGGTATGGTGTGTATATATAGAAACAGTGTGTTTGTTTCTCTCATGGTCAAGCTGTGTTTCTGTTCTGTCCCACAGCAGAAAACTCCCTGAACATGTCTGTGAAGACAGAGGGCTCTTCTCTGGTCAAGGCCTGCACCTTCCATGACCAGATCAATTCTCTGGTCTCTGACCCTGCCCAGTCTGCTGGTGAACTGGTCAAACGACAGGAGGTCACACCTATGGAGGTCTCCAGCAATACCCCATCCAAAGCACTCTTCAAGGTAGGAACAATATACAGATCGTATTTAACCAAGGATCCTTGTATGTACATTTATTATCAGATGGTTTTGCTGGGACATCACTCTTTAGTTGTATCAATCAAAGAAAACATCTGGATCCAGAGTCATTGGCCAACTTTTAGGGGAGTGTGTAGATTTTAGAAAATACCTCTATTCAAAATTATTCTCTCTTTTTGTCTTCTCCCTCAGCAACCCTCTGACACCCTTATCTTAGTCCAGCAGACCCTTGACCTGAGCTCCAGCGCCCCGCCTAGCAATGAGTCCTTCCCTAGCCCCATGCCCCTCCAGCCTGGGGACGTGGACCTCCCTCAGGCCCCCGTCTTTCCCTCCCTGGAGCCCCTCGGCACCATCCAGAAGCAGGACATCGCCCCCATCACCTCCTTCCCTGTCTCCAGCGACACTACCACCCTCCCCCCTGTCCCCCCAGAGGTACCCCAGCAGTTCCTCCGGGACCCCCAGGAGAGCCTGCCTCAAGAGGCCTCCAGCTCCAGCAGCGGGGTGATGGTAGTAGGAATGTCCCAGATGGCGCCCCCCTCCCAGGCCCCCCAGCTGGAGAGGGCGGTAAGGGAGCTCCAGGCGGGGGGCAGCAGCCTGGTACAGCAGGTTCTAGAGGCAGCAGTGGCCCAGCAGCAACTCAACTCAGTGTTGTACAGCCCCACGCCCTCCACTGACACCCTGCAGCAAAACGTACAGGACACCATGAACAGCCTGAGACTGGGGTGCACTGAGGGCTCTCTGGCCACACAACAACACCTACAGATACAACAACAACAGCAGCAGCAGCAGATACAACAACAGTTGCAACAACAGCAGATCCTTGGCAACATGCAACAGCAGCAGCAACAGATACAGCAGCAGCAACAGATACAGCAACAGCAGCAGCAACAGTTACATCAACAGCAACACCAAGTCCTTGGCAACATACAGCTACAACCACAATTATTACTACAGCCACAGGATCAACAACTGCAACAGCAACAACAGATACTGGGGAACCTACAACAGCAACAATTACAACATCAACAGTTTCAACAACAGCAGCAGCAGGTCCTAGGCAACATACAGCTACAGGATCAACAGCAACTACTGGGCAACCTACAACAACAAAACCAAGCAGTAGGCAACATGCAACAGTTACAACAGCAGCAGCAGCAGCAACAACAACAGTTACAACAGCAGCAGCAACAACAACAACAGTTACAACAGCAGCAGCAACAACAACAACAGTTACAACAGCAGCAGGTGTTGGAGAACTTCCAGCAGCAGCTCCAGGCTGAGCTCCTCCAGCCCCAGATCCACTGCTCGTCTCAGCCCCAGCAGCAGCAGCCTGTGTCTCTCCTCCAGCAGGCTGGGGAGCTGCTCACCATCCAGACCTCCAGCTTCCCCCAGCAGCCCCCCTCCCACACCTCTCCCCCCCAGCAGCTCCTCCAGTCCCCCAGGCCTCTGTCGGAGACCCCCAGCCCACAGCACCAGGTCCAGGCCGCCCTGCTTCAGAACACTTTGACTGTGCTGACCAGTGGTAGCCTAGATCATGAGCAGCAGGTCACGGGGTCAACACTTTTCCTCTCTCCCAACACACTCTCTAACCAGGGTAGTCAGCAACAGCTAGCATTCCTGTCCTCCATGGAGACTTCAGCCAGTGAGCCCCAGACTCTGTCAGTGTTCCAGCCTCAGACCCAGCAGCAGCAGCAGAGCACCCCCATGGACCAACAGCAGTCCCCCCAGCAGACACAACCACAGCAAACCCAGCAGCAGCTTCCCATGGCTCAGCAGGGCTCCTTGTTCCAGACTAGCACTCTGTCCCCCAGCCAGCACCCTCAGCCCCAGCCCGCAGACCTGCTCCTCTGCACCGCCTCCCTCAACCCCCAGGCTCTGCCCCCAGCCCTCCTCTTCAGTACCCAGGCCCAGAGCCCCTCCATGGGCAGCAGCAGCACCCCTCACCCCCAGGACACCCCTGCTCCCCTCCTGTTCTCCCAGCCCACCATGGTGGGGATCAGGGTAGGGGTGGCCCAGTCTGACCCAGCAGAGCCCATGTCCTTCCAGGACCAGAGCTCCACAGTAGGGGGGACCCCTGCCTCCATCAATCCCTCTCAGCAGGGCCTGTTCCAGGGGCAGCAGCCAATGCAGGTGGGCTCCAGCTCAGGCAGTGGCCCTGCCAGTCAGCAGGTGGAGCTGTTCCTGCCACAGGGTTCTCTGTCTGGTCTGCAGAGCAGCATGGCCACGCAGGAACTAGAAAACCAGGCTGCAGCAGCTGCAACCATCTTTGTGATGCAGAGCGGGCTGGGGGTGGTGGGGCTGCAGAGTACCACCTCCTCCCCCGGTCAGAGACCCCCAGAGCAGCTGTTCCAGACGGGAGTGAGCGGGAACGTCAGCCAGCCAGGAGGACAACCCAACCTGTTTGTGTTCGGCCTCCAGAATGGTGAGATTTTATTTTATATATACTGTATAAATTGTTTTAAATGTTAAAATAATATTTGTGTGACATCCTCCTCTACTATTTCTCCTCAGATTCCTCCCAGCTGATGACGTCCTCTGGTCCTACACTGTCAGCCCAGGGCCAACCCCAGAACCCCAACCCTGTGCAGGCAAGCCACATCCAGTCTCTACTGGACCCAAACATATCCCAGACAGCCACACCCATGCAGACTAACCTTCAGACACCCATGCAAAGTAGTCTACAAAACACCATGAGTAGCTTAGAAAACGCCATGCAGACCAACCTACAGACCCCAATGCAGACAAACACACATACTGCAATGCAGACCAATATACAGACTGCCATAGAAACTAGCCTGCCAACCCTCATGCAGACCAACGTCCAGACTAGCTTACAGAACGCCATACAGACCAACATGCAGACGTCCATGAGCACCTCCCAGAACATGGAGAAGATGGAGGACCTGCTGGAGAGTCTACAGAAACAGTGATCATTACTGGGGGTTCTAGTGACGTCTGCCCACTCTTAGACTGGGACAGGTTGTGTCTTCTGCTTACAAATTCAACCCCCCACAGATACAGATAATGGGGATAGAGGTGTCTGACCATGGTATGAGCCACCTAGGCTAAGAACATGTCATGATGATGTTTTAAATATTTTTATCAGATGTACTCTTGTGCCCTTAGCTCATATTTTGATGTGTTTGTACATGCATTCATAGAGAAGGACAGACATATAGACACTGTTATGATGAGTTGGTCCAATTTGTAAGTCGCTCTGGATAAGAGCGTCTGCTAAATGACGTAAATGTAAATGTAAATGTGATTGCTCATTTTGCTGGATCAGAGGAAAGTAACTCCTGTATCCATCAGTTTAACATATACAGTGGTTCTTCTTTTTCATAATGTACTGTGTTATTGATGGCTACGAGTGGAGGGAGGAAGACTGAGAGAGAAAGCAGGAGAGGGATAGAGAAAGTTGGAGCTAGAGAGAGAGACCGAAGAGATGGCGAAAAGATTGTGAGATTTTTATGATGGAAAGGGAAGTGCGGCCAGAGAAAGGTATCTCACCCTGTTCTTGTTTGTGATTGCAAAGCTTCATTCAGGTCATACAGCAGTCAGTGTATCTGGTCATACAGCAGTCAGTGTAACTCATAATATCTCTTGCTGTGGCATTTCCCAGTCTCCATGTGGTCTCTTATTATTACAAGTGGTTACAGAGGCTTTTTCCATGTTTATGAAGCATTTGCATATATCGTGCGACTTGTGTTTGGGGGATTTTAGAATTGGATTTGGAAGTCTTTCCAGTATATTGTGAATATAATTATGCTTTCTACTAGGGAGAGTGAAGCGTTGTGTGGTTTTATAAACATTAAGCACTTTATAAACTGTTTTGTGTGACCAGCAAATCCTTATATCCATCCAGAGGCTTTCTATGGTTAGTCACTTTGTACTTGTTGATGTCCATTAAAAAATTATAATTTTTAAAGTTGTCAAGGTATACATTTAAACACATTGACCATGTATTCATACATTTTTCATTCACTATATTTTTGGAGATATTTTTGAGATTTTTCTAAAGATTGTCTGTGAATTCATCTGAAGCCTATTTATACTGAGTGGTCCAGTCAGTGTCTCTGTCAATTGTCATTCCCATAACGAGTATACAGTGTTTGTTTTGGTGTGTCTCTGATTGTAACTAGCTACTGTTCCTAGGCTTTCATATCTCTGCCTACATCCCCACCAATTATACTTTTTTTGTGTCGATACATTGTGTGTACATTTGTGCGTGTGTTATTTTTATTAAGAATGTACAGCACATTGCTATCTGTAGCCTACTATTTACCTTGTACTTTGCAATCTGTGTAAGTTAACAGACAGTGTTTTACCTTGTTTTGTGTGTGGTTGTAGTTTTTGGTTGGTTTCTGGTTCATGTACTGACAGATGTTGAACCACTACTGTCAGTGTTCAGGGCAGAGCTGTGTGAAATAGACACACAGTACCTGTCCCATGCATTGACACCAGGGACTCACTGCTACACAAAAACTCTGCTACAATAGCATACCACTTACTATAAAGCAATGTTTTGGGCATGTACTCTGTGGTATGCTAGTATGGACATTGGAATGTGGCCTAAAATCTCTGTTACTAAGGTTGGAGTAATTGCTGTGAGCAGGCAGTGTGTGGGGAGTGTATCCTGTTTTCAAACTCTTGTCATATTTGTTCCATTTAAAATATCCTAATGTTTGTTTACTCATTTGTAAATGTTTTACTCATTTTAAATCATACAGCTTTCATGGATAATATTAACATTGTTTTTGTACAAATTACAAACTTTAAGTAGTACACATATTGTGTAAGGAACTCTCCTCCCAACAGTTTTGCCTCTGTTATATCCATCCAAATTAATATGCATTTTAAAGCATGTTGCTCTACTTTGCTTTAGATGCAAGGTGATACTACTGTTATTCCATATCTGATAAATAGTAGTCTGTTTGACATATTGGCTGTGTTTACACAGGTAGCCCAATTCTGATATTCTTTCCCCACTAATTGGTCTTTTGACCAATCACATCAGATCTTTTTCAGAGCTTATCTGATTGGTCAAAAGACCAGTTAGTGAAAAAACATCAAATGGGCTGCCTGTCTAAATGTAGCCATTGACACAAACGGATGGAATGAGAACTTCGGTTGTTGCTCAGATTCCTATATGCTCATGTTTACATTTGTCATATTTTCACATTCTGTCTTGCAGAAGTAGGATTACTCAATTTTAAAATGTAATTTTAGAAAGTTTCTTACCCATGAATCAGATTACATAGTATTTTTATAACAGATGTTCAGTTTTATATACATGCAGTATAGTATGTTGTTGTTCAAAAATTGGACTGAAATCCAGTGTACAGTTTGGGGGTGTGTATACTACCAGATCTCTTCATGTAGAACACGAGCCAATAGTCTACAGTATACTCTCATTCTGTGCTAACCATATAAATTGAATGTATGCAAGGGACACCGTTCTAATTCTACTGTAATTCTATAATTCCATATGAGATAGAGCCTGTCAAAGATGGTGGCACATACTTTTTGAGAACACCCACAGAAAATGTAAACTATTTTGAACCCCACATTTGGTTTCACCCATCCAAAATGTCAGTTAGGCCTAAACACAATAGATGATCACGTCCATTACTGATTTCCAAGCGTTCCATTCCATTTTTATTGGGGATTTTCAAGAGCTCATGGTGCCTCACTAAGCCATACAAACAGAAAAAGCCAACCTCTGAGTATCTCCTGTCAGTGTGATGAATGTAACTTTACCTCACAGTGTGGGAAATATCAATGTGTACCGCATCTGCCACCGGACCAACTAGATATACTGTTTTTAGAGAAAATATTTGACTTAGCCTAATCTTGAACGTTTAGTGCATTGTACATGTGTGGAAATACATTGTTTTAATGTGGTTCTAATTTCTGGTTTCATGTTCCAAGGTCAAGCACTCTTATTTGGATTGATCTATTGCTTAGTTTAACTGTTTGAGTGACTACATATTCATCTGAAAATGTTAACTTTAAGGTGGCAAAATATCACACACATGGTCTCCACACACATCAGTTGTCATTAACTCATGAATATCCATGTTGAAATATGAGACTGGGGTTATCAGTTATTGTGAATTTCTCAAGTGTGCCTTGACAAACCATCAGTGTAGTACGTTTACCAGATTCCCTTTGTGTCATGACTGTTCATGTCCCTTGTCTAATGTTCCTCTTCCCTAGATGATCTCTGACTTCTCATAATTCAGTCTAGCCAGTGTCCGTGTTCTGCTTTTAGTTACATGACCACCTAACGTGTTTTAATTTCATCCATCCAAGTGGTTTCCAGCTCCAGTCCTTGAGTACCCCCAACAGTACACATTTTTATTGTAGCCCCGGACAAGCACACCTGATTCAACTTGTCAGCTAATCATCATGCTCTCAATGAGTTGAGTCAGCTGTTTTTTTTTGTCCGGGGCTTCAACAAAAATGTGTGCTGTTGGGGGTACTCAACGACTGGCGTTGGAAACCACTGCTGTAGAACTTCTGTGCAGCTTAACCAGTCGACTGTATACCTGTTTGTTTCTATAAGTATCCCTACTTCATGCCTGTCGTGATTCATAATTGTGAGGTAAAAGGGAAACGAGGTGGAGATTGTTCAGATCAGGTGTTGTGGAAAGCTCTCGTGTAAGTGTGTGTGCTTGTCAGCATAACTGTTGTTGCTGTGAAGAGTTTAACATGAGATCAAAATGCGGTAATAATAAAGACTCCTATTGGCAACAGTGTGAGCTGTGTTTTGTGCATTATCAGTCAGTTTGCTTACTCACAAATGTCACCCTCTGTGTCTCACTTTTCCTCTGTTCAACTGTTCTTTGTATAGCTTTAGGCCTAGATTTTGAAGTGACTCAAATCCTATTTATTTGCATATCTGATTAGAATGTTATTTTTCCTGCAGTCTGAACAGCCAAAAAGCACATGGAATCGGATATTTCAAGCCACTACGAAGTTGGTTTGATGTCAGATACAAATATGATTCCTGGCCATGTGTCTGAATGGTCAAATCTGATTTATTTGCCCTCAAGTGGTTATTAGACTGTTATTCGGCATATCTTGTTGCTTGCTAACTACTCTGTTGACAGTTTGACAAGAACATGTGGTAGCCAACTAGCTTGTTGTTTACAAACAAATTAGTGAATGTGATTGAAAGCTAAACAGCTAGCTACCTAGATATTTAGTTGACTGCTGGAGCTAGCCAAAAAGAACTTGTTTTGAAAGTTGGATCATCTTATCCTTTGAGGCTTTAAAAGTGTTCTTACCCTATGATTTTGACCATTCAAAGCAACTGGGAAACATCCATGGCAGGCATTGTCACCTTAGCTCGCTACATAAGCACAGGCACCACCACCAATCAGCCTACACCACTGCACACGCACACATGTCGTTACTATGACAACTTGTGTAGCCTTGTCAGCAAATGACTGCTGTCCAGTGTTGCCAACTTAGTGACTGTCGCTATATTTAGCGAGTATTCAGACCCCTCTAGCGACACATTTTCAAAAACATCGACTAGTGACAAATCTAGCAACTTTTTCTGGTGTTATTGGAGACTTTTGGAGACTGACGTGAAAGCACGTATCGTTCTTACTCCTCTCAACGAGCAGCGGGTGCTGCGTGGGCCCCGTCCCAAAGCACTCTCGCGCTGTCTCGCGCTGCAGTCAGAGCAGGAGATGTTCAACCCTCCGCGTCCAGACCGCAAATGAATCGCACATGCGGGAAGCCGCCACTGGCATTCATCCAGAAAAACGCATGTCAAAAATTTAATAAATTGATTTGCATTTTAATGAGGGAAATAAGTATTTGACCCCTCTCAATCAGAAAGATTTCTGGCTCCCAGGTGTCTTTTATACAGATAACGAGCTGAGATCCTAATCTCAGTTTGTTACCTGTATAAAAG